AAATTATGTAGCCCAAAAAGGCGATCTGGGACCAGTGGAATTCACACTTCTCGAGCTTGCAAAAAAGTTTGTTCTCACGTAACCGTTGCAGCACCCATGTCACCCACTTGACATCCTGCATATGGGACTCCATGGAGGCAGAGTAAACCAGGATGTCATCCAAGTAGACCACCACGCACTGCTGTAACAAGTCACGAAAGACATCATTTATGAACTCCTGAAAGTCCGCGGGCGCGTTACACAACCTGAAGGGCATCACCAGGGATTTATAGTGACCGGTTCTGGTGTTAAACGCGGTCTTCCACTCGTCCCCCTGCTTGATCCGTACGAGGTTGTACACTGCCCTAAGGTCGAGTTTGGTAAAGACCGTTGCTCCCTTGAGGCGGTCGAACAACATGGTAATCAACGGGATAGTGTAGGCATTCTTAATGGTGATTCGATTGAGACCCCTATAATTGATGCAAGGCCTGAACTCACCACCCTTCTTTACGAAGAAAAAGCCCGCTCCTGCTGGGGAAGTAGACTTACGAATGTGCCCCCAGGAAAGTGCATCCGCAACGTACTCCTCCATGGCCTGATTCTCCGCAACCGAAAGAGGATACACCCTGCCAAGCGGAGGAGTGGCACCAGGTTGCAAGGATATGGGGCAGTCGTAAGGACGATGGGGAGGTAAGGCACCAGCGCGCACCTTATCAAACACGTCCCGGTACTCCCCATAGTCGGTAGGCAACACAGAGTCCGAGGAGGCACACAACACCTTAACCGACCCACGGATGCACCCGGCTCCACACTGTGGAGACCCTGAGAGAATCTCAGCCATTCGCAAATTAAAGGTTGGATTGTGCTTCTGGAGCCAGGGATACCTCAAAACCACGAAATAGTGCGGGGAAGAAATTACCTGAAAACAGGCCAACTCCCTGTGAACAGCCCCAATAGCTACTTCAACCGGCAGGGTCTCGTGGGTAACCTGCGGCTGTTGCAGGGACCTGCCATCTATCGCCTCGAGAACCAATAGGGTAACTCAAGCCTGCAGGGGAATGGAGTACTGGGCAGCAAACGAGCTGTCCATAAACAACCCGCCGGCCCCAGAGTCTACTAACGCCTGGGCCGTCACCGAGCCCTCCGCCCAAGAGAGGAGAACGGTGATCAGTGGTTTATCTTTGCGGGATGCCGGGGACGAGGAAACTCCACCCAAGATCTGTCCCCAACAGGATCTCAAGTGCGAGCGTTTCCCGGACGGACCGGACAGGACTGCCGAAAGTGCCCACCAAGGCCATAGTACAGGCAGCGACCCTCCCGATGCCGAGCGGCCCGCTTCCCCTCGGAAAGGCAAGCAACCCCCAGCTGCATGGGCTCACCGCCAGGCAAGCCATCCCCAGGAGGAGTGGGAGGAAAGGGAAGAACGGGTGGGACAGAAAACGCAGTTGCCAGTCGGTTGGGAGGCCTCCGCAGGCGCTCCTTGACTAAAGGCCTCTCCCTGAGCCTGGTGTCAATCAGGATTAGGAAGGAAATGAGTGCTTCCAGCTTCACAGGCAGTTCCTTGGCTGCAATCTCGTCCTTCAACGCATCAGAAAGGCCATGAGAAAAAGCAGCCACCAGGGCCTCATTGTTCCAGCCCACCTCTGCCGCCAGGGTATGAAACTCAATGGCGTACTCGGCAACGGTCTGTGAACCCTGATGCATGGACATGAGCAGCTTGGCAGCCGAGGCGGAGCGAGCTGGCACGTCGAATACCCTTTGGAAGGCGTCGACAAAACCGGAAAAGTCGTGAATCACCGGGTCATTCCTCTCCCATAAGGGATTAGCCCAGGCCAAGGCCTTGTCTGAGAGCAGCGAGATTAGGAATCCCACCTTTGACCTCTCAGTAGGAAAAGCGTGGGGTATTAGCTCAAAATAAATGCCCACCTGGTTGAGGAACCCACGACACTGACTCGGCTCACCCCCAAAGCGCTGTGGAAGAGGGGCTGAACCAGTCATACCTCTGGGCACCGCGGGCGCAACGGCAGCCGCGGCGGTAGGCGCAACAACCGGAGCCGCAGCGGGGACGACCACCGGAGTGACAACCGGTCTAATAGCACCAGGAGCAAGGTGCGCGGTGCATGCAAGCAGAGTCTGCAACACCTGAGCAAACTGATCCGACAGGAGATCCTGTTGATCAAGTCTGGCGACTAACATGGGAAGCGAAGGCGTACCTGTACCGTTAGGATTCAAGGCATTCGTGTAATGTCAGGGCAGGAGCTGTGGAATGGACAGGCAGGCCTAATGGCAGGGTCACGCACCGACTGACGACAACCACCACCCACAGACCGGAGTGCCTCAGGGTGCAGAGTCTAAGCTCCAGGCTGCCCTTCACCAGGGCCCCTGATGGTGGGGATGGACTTGACACAGCCAGGAACCAGGTCGCGGCCCCCGAGAAACCCCTGCTGCGGTAATGGCCGCCGCCAAGGGCATATAGCTGGTAGGAACCAGATATGAACGATAGCGTAGTCGGACAGGCTGGGTCGATAACAGCGGGACAGACAGTACCGAACGGTAGACAAGAATACACGGGTCACAAGCCGGGTTCAGCAACGGGAGGTCAGATAAAGGGATAAGGCTGAGAATAGTCTTAGACAAAGCCGAGTCAGTTTCCAGGAGAGCCACGAGAGTAGAATAAGAGCTTGCAACAACACTATCAAACAGGACATGAATGCAAAGAGCAAGTGCAGACAACAGGCTTAAATGTGCTCAACCACACCCCTCTGGGGGATGGACCGCAGAGGACTGAAAGCATAAATGGCTCCCACCATGCGTTGCAGAAACCCAAGATGGATGCCAGCACATGGAGCAGCATAACCTCTGGGAAAAGGTAGGACCTTGACAGAAGAAACTACCCAAGGTGGTGTCGTGGACACCCGAATGTGAGAAGGCCTTCCAGGCCTTGAAGGAGGCGCTGGCCAGCGCCTCTGTCCTACAGGCTCCAGACTTCACCCGCCGTTTCCTAGTGCAGACTGATGCCTCTGCATATGGATTTCGTGCAGTCCTGAGCCAGGTGGATGGTACAGGAGAGGAACATCCCATCCTCTACCTGAGCCGGAAGCTGCTCCCGAGAGAGGTAGCATACGCCACAATCAAAAAAGAGTGTCTGGCGATCATGTGGGCGCTTCAGAAGTTACAAATGTACCTTTATGGGCGGCACTTCACAGTGATCACCGATCACAATCCTCTGAGCTGGCTAAATCGTGTTGCTGGGGAGAATGGCAAACTACTCCGGTAGAGCCTAATTCTGCAGCAATATGATTTCACCATACAGCATAAGAAGGGAAGCACCCATGGCAATGCTGATAGGTTATCAAGACAGGTCGAGCTGGCAGAAGGCAGTTGCGTCAGGAGGGAAATTGTAGTTCCCTCCCATGCAACTACCTGAGGGGAAGGTGTCGCAAACATGCGCAACACACAGTGAAGGACGCAGACTCCATCTTGTTAAGAGTATATATTTTTTCTCTCATTTCTCCCTTTTCCCCCCCCCCCCTCCTTCCTGGGAGACATGTGGCCAGTGTATGTGTACTGTGTATGGGTCACTGGCAGGGCAAGGCATCCCTAGTTCGGTGCCGAGTGGTCTGCGAAAGTGTAGCCTTTCTCAACTAGGCCAGGATAAGGCCAGTGTTCCCAAGAGAGCTGGAGTCCCACTGTCCTGAGAACCTGTGTAATTTCACACCTCGTAAAAAGATAAGGGAGCCTTCCCTGGAGTTCAAGGCATTCCCAAGAAGCCCACACCAGCTAACATTTTTAAAAGATCAATTTTTCCCCTCTGTCTCATATCTTGGAATATGAGAGACCTACATAAAAACCGGACCCCTCGTCAGATGGCCAATGAGCAGACGAACAGTTTGATGGGTCACTCATTTATCTCGGGCCATCAGGGAGGCCGGAACATAGAACTCGCAAACCGTGCCACATATAATTTCATAATTCATATCTAAATAATCCTCAGGCTTATCTGCATAGGTAGACTGTCGCTTGTGCAGCTGGAACGTTATGGAACAGAATATGAATTATGAAAGATGTTGGCCCCAGTTTAGGGTCCCGCCTGCCGACCCCTCCCTGCACAAGGGATTGGTTTGTTACTTCAGAACCACCCCCTGCTGGGAAACTTTAAAACCGGCTGTCAGGCCTAAGAGAGTAGAATTGAAGACATCTCCCATTTTTTCCATCGTAACAGCAGGAGATCAAAGCACCATTCTGCTCTAAAAAACTTGGATCTGCTTACATCAAATGCATACTGGCAAGTAACTTAACCCTTTAACTGCTCTCTGTTATCTCTTTGCTGGGCTATGCTGTTTCCTGTATATGTATATATATATCTTAGCTACATCTTTGTTACGCACGTCACATCGCAGTTTGGATCAGCCAGTCCTTCGGTCACAAGTTTGGTAAGAAGGTCTGGGGTCTGACGCCGCGACCGTGACACATAGTGATTCCTAGAGCTCTGTACTATCAGCAGATGGATTGGGGACAGTAGAAGAAGGGGAGGATCAGAGAAGACAGGATCAAACAGTCTTTTTACACAATGTGGAGGATTAATCTCTTAGGTTCTACAGTGAGTATAACAAGCATGCTTTACTGCATATACAGACTGATTTTAAACTTTATAATTCTGATACAAAGCATTGCAATGTTATTTACAAATGAAATAAAGTGTTTTTTTTTATTTTGCACTTTTTATGGGAAATGTGTAAATATATTAACAAACAAAACAAAAAAGAAGTAAGGTTAAATATTAATAGTTAAAGTGTTACTAAACCTAGGACCCTGCATTCACTATATCTGGTCTCCCAGGCCCTGCATTCACTATATCTGGTCTCCCAGGCCCTGCATTCACTATATCTGGTCTCCCAGGACCCTGCATTCACTATATCCGGTCTCCCAGGACCCTGCATTCACTATATCTGGTCTCCCAGGACCCTGCATTCACTATATCTGGTCTCCCAGAGTACACACTACATGGAAGTGCAATTATTTTAGTAAATATAAACTGCTAAATACCTTTTCTCATCAGCAGTTAGAGCAGTCTTGTGACTTCTATCAGTGTCCAGCTGAGCACATGTTAAAGTTTGTAGGAGGAGTTTTCATTCTGCTCTAGGAAGATGCAGAACCCCTGACCTCTGTCTGGACAGTGCTTATTGGTCCTGCGCTGATCACATGCACTCTGCCAAGAAAAAAAAAAACCTTTCTAGCAATACACACCAAACTGCGCATTTGCAGAGTGACTACACATGATATGTCTTTTCAGGAGATAAGAGGGGGGGACACTGGAAGAAGGGGAGGATCAGAGAAGTCGGGATCAAATAGCGTTTCTACACAATGCAGAGGATTAACCCCTTAGACTCCACAGTAAGTATAACAAGCATGCTTTACTGCATATACAAACTGATTTTACTGTTGTGGGCAGGGGCGGACTGACAACTCATGGGGCCCCCGGGCAATAGGGGATCATGGGGCCCCTGTGTCCTTGCCCAAACTCAAAAAAGCCTATGAAAAAGGTACCAGGGGCATCTCATGGGGCCCCCTACTGACCCCGGGCCCTCGGGCAGTGCCCGAGTTTCCAAATGGTCAGTCCGCCCCTGGCTGTGGGTTTAGTAACACTTTAATAACATAGAAACCATAAACAAACATCAGCAAGAAAATGGTTGACGAGAGAAGGAGACTAAGGCGTTAATTAGGGCTGATTAGCACAAACTAAGAGTTAATAAGGGGTTAAACAGAGGAATATTTTATTTAAAAAAAAAATGTATTTGTCATGTTGCTTTGACTGACATCATCTGCAGATCAAAGTTCATCCCTTTGATCTGCAGATGAATGAATGGAATTATACAAAATAACTATGTTACTTTGTATCTTTGTATATTCCAGTCTGATCAGTGTTATTGAGGCTCCATGCACACGGGGCGTTTTAATAACGCTGGTAACGTTAGCTGTGTAAAGTCACGTTAAAAACCTGAGTTTTTCATTTTTTTTTTAGTTTTTGCATTAGCGTTTAGCGGTATTTTGCCACAATTAGCATTGTTTTGTGTTATATCTTTGTGCAATAGGCAATACTTTACCTCTTTTCACACTTTGTTTGCTTTATGCAGGCCATACATGGGTCAAATTCCGAACAAATTATATTTAGAAAATTTTGTGCGTTTTGTAATCCAATGATGTCACCATTGATTCCGAAATTCAACCAACCAAACCTCCAATTTCTCCTCATGTTGCTAAAGAAAAGAATTTTTGTGGCCAAGAATTTTTTTTTCTTTCCAGGTCACAGCTTTATATTTCTCGCACGATTCTCCCATTATTGATTTGAAATTCGTTCGTTTTTCAAAAAATTTCCAACATGCCCCATCACTCAAATTCGATGGTCACACAAAAAATCGTCGGTTTTTCTGTGACCCACTAATGGTGCTAAATTGGAATGAAAATTCTCAGAAAAGATTTTCGAAAGAAAATTCTTTCGGAATTCGACCCGTGTATGGCCGGCTTTACTCTATGATGTACTAACGGCATACAGGTGTACACAAGACAATTGCTTCTATTTCAACACTTTTTAGGAAGAATGAAACATGTTTTCAATGAGCTGTAAGTGCCTGGTCACACCGTTGCGATTTCAGGTGCAATTTGTGAATTGAAATCGCACCAGAAATCACATCTAATGAATGTGAATGTCAGTGTCTTACCATGTGTGGTTTGCTGAGTGCGATTTAGTTTAGCGCAAAAGTAGTTCTTTCATTACTTTTTCTGCAGTTTTGTCATGATTTCACATACATAGAATATAATGGAAATCGCACTGCAAATTGCAAGAAATCGAAAACCTTTACAACTAGCAATAAAGTCTTCAGAAATCACACTGACATTGCACACAAATCGCGCAATTTTAAATCGCAGCGGTGTGAACGGTTACTAAGGTAGCAACAACATGTCTGTGGCTGTGCTCAGTTATGTGGATATACTGATAATGTGATTTATTGTTTCTGGCTCTAATAAGTTTTGTAACAACTATTTGCTAAGGTTTTTTAAGCAATGAGATTCTTTTTATGGCAGTTAACTCCCCACTATTTGCAGAAAGTCAGACGTGACAAAGAACATAACACATACAGTATGTGGCCCGGGAAAAAAAGAAGAATGGGAGGTGTACTTATCCCTTGTGCAATATTTATCATGCACTAAATGCTCTCCTTGTGGCGGTATATTAACGTCTTGTCTATAGTATCAACTATCACAGCAGTACTCAAATAACAATAAAGTAGGTCGTATGTGCCAATCATAGTAACCAAGTTAAATGGGTGGTATACACTCAAAGAGCAATATTACTAGAAACCAAACTATTTTTTCCTATGTTAATAGTTTAATTTGATTTTTTTTTTAGAAGTTAAAGTGTAACTAAGCCCACAACAGTAAAATCAGTCTGTATATGCAGTAAAACATGCTTGTTATACTCACTGTGGAGCCTAAGGGGTTAATCCTCTGCATTGTGTAAAAAGGCCGTTTGATCCTTTCTTCTCTGCTTCTCCTCTTGTTCAAATGTCCACGTCTTATCCGTAGCCACTTGTGTGTGTATTGCTTTTTTTTTTTTTCCTGGGATAGTGCATGTGATCAGCACAGGGCCAATCAGCACTGTCCAAACAGAGGTCAGGGGTCCTGCATCCTCCTAGAGCAGAAAGAAAACTCCTACAAGCTTTAACAAGTTGGACACATATTGATGCCGTCTCCCACATCTTCACTACCCAGTACAATGATATAAGCCTGAGTGATATTATTAGAGGTATTAGGAAGACAGAAGGGGGGAGGGTTCACAGGTGACTGGTACCCAAAGGTGGAAGAACTAACAAGAGAACGGTATAACAAGTATAAAGTGTTAAGAAAGAATTAACTAGTAAGGGGGGAAAAAAGAGAAAAAGAAAACAAACAAGGTGCAAGGTGGTTCTTATACAAAGATACCTTCTGCTGCAAAGTGTTATAATTGGCAGGCTGATATGCTGCATGACATTTTCTCCTATGTTTATTCCATACATTTTATTATAATACAGGATTTATATAGCGCCAACAGTTTGCTCAGCGTAAACAATATAACGCGAGACAATACAGCAACAGTACAGTTCATACAAGAGGGTTGGAGGACCCTGCTCCTTGGAGCTTACAATCTAAGAGGGAGGGGATAATGTTACAAAAGATAATAACTGTAGAGGATGAACTGATGAGAGAAATAGAAGATTTGGTTATTAGCTGAAGGCAGGATAGCCTTCCCTGAAGACACAGGTTTTCAGAGATCGACTAAAAGTGGGCAGAGTAGGCGATAGTCTGATAGATTAGGGTAGAGAGTTCCAGAGGATGAGGAAGGCTCTGTAGAAATCCTGGAGATGAGCATGGGAGGAGGAGACAAGGGAGCAGAGAGCAGGTCGTGGGAGGAGCGGAGAGGATGGTTTGGGTGATATTTGGAGATAAGATTGGTGATGTAATTTGGGGCAGAGTTGTAAACAGCTTTATATTATATTGATAATGTTTTGAATTGTATTCTTTGGGCAATGGGAAGCCAGTGGAGGGATTGGCAGAGAGGGATGGCAGATATGGAATGGGAAGCCAGTGGAGGGATTGGCAGAGAGGGGTGGCAGATATGGAATGGGAAGCCAGTGGAGGGATTGGCAGAGAGGGATGGCAGATATGGAATGGGAAGCCAGTGGAGGAATTGGCAGAGAGGGATGGCAGATAAGGAATGGGAAGCCAGTGGAGGGATTGGCAGAGAGGGAAGGCAGATACGGAATGGGAAGCCAGTAGAGGGATTGGCAGAGAGGGATGGCAGTTATGGAATGGGAAGCCAGTGGAGGGATTGGCAGAGAGGGATGGCAGATATGGAACGGTCAGTAAGATGAATGAGTCTGGCAGTAGCATTCATGATAGACTGAAGAGGGGATAGCCTGCAATGAGGTAGGCCAATGAGGAGGGAGTTACGATAGTCAAGACGAGAGATAACAAGGTAGTGAATAAGTTGCTTTGTGGTTTTGGTGGTTAAGAACAGGCATATCTTGGAGATGTTGCGGAGGTGAAGTCTACAAGATTTGGACAGTGATTGGGTTTCGGGCTGAAAGGACAGATGGGAGTCGAGGATTACACCCAGTACATAGACAGATAATGAAGTAAGTTGCAACCTTTTCTATTAAGTGTGTCGATAGGCTTCGATGGGCAAATACAGTGTGCTTTTGATATCAGTTTAAGACACTTCTAAGATCATTCAAAATTCATTGACAGGTGCATTTGACCTGCTTTGGTTGGTTTAGAGTTCCCAAAGACATTTCTTTGGGGTTAGCAGCAGCTGTGAAGTGAACAACAGTCGGTTTATATGGGCCATATAATCTGTCATATACAATCAGATTTCTTTATTCAGCCAGTGAGTATAAATATTGGGGAAACCTGTATGCACAGATCATATTTGTTGGCAACATTTAAATATATAAAGGTACCAAAAGATCTGAGCAAAATTAAAAATGTTTTTAAAAAAGGTCATCCAGCAGCAGTGAAAAAAACCATAATAAGCCTTATGGAGGGCTCACCTCCAGGGCTGTCCACCATGCTGTTCAGCCAGGAAGATTGTAGACATGCTGAGTGCAGGTCCTCATTGAGCTGCCATGGCACCTGCACTCACAGTGTAATGATGAATTAACCACTTGCCCTCCAGAGGATTTACCCCCCTTCCTGACCATGCCATTTTTTGTGATACTGCGCTGCGTTACTTTAACTGGTAATTGCGCAGTCATGCAACACTGCACCCAAATGAAATTTACATCCTTTTATTCCCACAAATAGAGCTTTATTTCAGTGGTATTTGATCACCTCTGTGTTTTTTATTTTTCGCGCTATAAACAAAAAAAGACCGACAGTTTTTGAAAAAAAAAACCAAAGCAATATTTTTTATTTTTTTGCTATAAAACATATCCAGTAAAAAAAAAAATAAAAAATCAAATTTCCTCATAAATTTAGGCCAAAATGTATTCTGCTACATGTCTTTGCTAAAAAAAAAATCCCAATACGTGTAAATTAATTGGTTAACATGAAAGTTATAGCATTTATAAATGGCGGTATATATGCTGGAATTTTTCTTTTTTTTATACTAGTAATGGCGGCGATCAGCGACATATAGTGGGACTGCGGCGGGCATTCTGACACTGGGGGGAACTGACTAACTCCCACTGACATCCCAATGACACTAATACAGTGATCAGTGCTAATAAAAAGCATGGACACTGTACTAATGACACTGGGCAGGAAGGGTTAACATCTGGGGCGATCAAAGGGTTAACAGTGTGTGCATAGTGTG